ACCCATGCCTCAGAGTACCTCTAAAACAACCAAATGTGTGTTTCAGACTACGTGCCTGTTCTCCTTCGCTTAGATGACACTGGAAGCTTCTAGTGCCTGAAACCAGATGGTTTCAATAGATTACGTAATTTTGGTTATTTCTGCAGAACAAGCTCTTACAATATTATACTCATTCTGAATACACAGCGTATGAAATTACTGTAAACCTTGTAAGTACGCTTCACATTTTCTGCATAAAAGGGAATCGCCGGATTCTCAGAGGGAAGGTACAAACATTATTTTCCGTGTATATTAAATTTCTCTTGACCAAAAGCTTGTAAATTGCTACGAAGATTAGCTACCTGCCCCAACTGCCTGTCTTCATGAGCAACACTACCTAAAGACAAGTACAATGTTTTATTGCTCATCTTGTTGCAAGCTGACTTTCATCTCGCAACGAGGTACATTGTTTTATATACAGTTCCTTTTTCTCCCTTTAGGGAAGATAAAAATCTATGAATTTTACAATGTTTTTATGATACACCAAACTTTCTTACTACAGAACTTCTCACTATAAAGCCAGCTCTGATATTGTATCAAACCAGTGTAATGTAGCTATGTAGCACAAAGTACAGACAGCCCTAGGATACAAGCTGTAATGTGAGATAAAATGATTTAGATCTGAGAGATACAATACGTGAGATTTTGTGTTGTAAATTCCTGGCTGAAGAGAAGTTTCTCAAAACTTGTATTGCTCATTCACATTTAGCAGGTATCCATCATAGACTTTAGATGATATTACAATGAGAACATTTATATTTCTGTATGCACCTAATGAAATCTAAATATAGACTGTACTTCATTCAGATTCTGTCATACACCCAAAACATTTAATAACGCAGTCTGATGCCTCCAGGGTAAGGGAGAATGCAAATAAGATTTTGTTTCCTGCTTCACAGATACTTTCACCTCTAGATATTTGTTCCAGAAGGATACTAATCATAGGAAATGACCTAAAAATAATGAGTGTTTACAGTTATACATACTAAATAAAAAGAACTAAATGTCGTCTGCCAAGTAGTTTTATATATATGTTTTAGGAAGTCTGAAAATGCAAAATCAGGCATTTTTTTTCCCTGAACAGTAATGAAAGACACTCATATAAACTGGAATCAGCCCATAATAGGCTACGAGCAACTGTTGTCTTTGCTGAAAAGATTGAATTACGCACCTTTTTATAAACAAGTTGTATTAACCAGCTCCAAACTATTTTTTAAGACTGAAACTAGGCATAAACTGTTAATTAAAAAAAAAAACCAACTTTCCTACAAGCATCATTTTGATCTCAGACAAGATATTAATCTGGTTGGTGAGTTACTACTTCCAAATCCAGGTCAAGGCTAACTCTGAAAATTCAAAGACAACATAGGCCAATGGCAAGAGGCAAAATGCCACAGAAAACTGCTCAAACAAAACACACCAAAAAAGACTTCTAGAAAAGGTAGAACACATATTAAATAAGGTGGAGTGACCAAAAGGTAAATTAGGAAAGACCCAATTTAAATTACAAACTTAAAGCTTTGTGATGAGTCCATTAACCTCCTTCTGCTCAATGTGCACCTCAGACTTTAGAAACGAATGCTGGCCAGCCCTTCACAACTTAGGCAACAAAAGGGAACAAGCCAATATGAAGAGATATTGCACAACCTCATATTTGAAAGTTCGCACAAAATATTATTAACAGTAGTACCAGCAAAAGCCAACAGGAAGAATGGCTAGCCTGACTTCTTAGAATGAGACAAGAAAGGCGCCAATTTGGACATGCAAACTGCACATCTGAAACAGCTTACAGTGTTTCCACATTCTCAGAGTATGTTGTAATTCAGGGTGCTTGTGCCACACAACCTTGTAGATCTGAATAAGCAACAGCTTGCAGTAAATTCAAAACAAACTCATTCCAAGAATAAGATGTTTTCCCACAGATACAAGCAAAAGGCTTCCAAGAGTTCTAGCATCCCATGATGCGTGGCTGAAAAGTTTGTAACTAACTGCCAAAATGATCACACACTAAAAGAGGAAAAAAACCCTTACAGTTAAATACCAATAAAAAGGAAAATAAATTTACCTCGTATTTGTTTGCAAAAATCCAAAGACTATCTTCTATTTGCTTGGAACGACTGTTTCAGAGTTAAATGATTTTATATACATATGCATACATATATATATATGTATTTATAAAGATCTATAGTGACATTAACCACGAGCATGATATTTATGATAGCATACTGTAGTATTTACAGCAATACAATTATATAGTGATATACAACTAAAATGCACATTAAAATGTTGAGTTTTACTAGTCAGTTCTACAAAGCCATACAAATAGGACTGACTGAAAAGTGTATTTATATCATTAGTGAGTAAGAAAACAGTTTACTTAATTACCACTGTGATTCTGGTATGGGACTCCTAAAGGACAGTAAAACTCACATAATTTTTCATTAATGTCAATGCATAGGAGAAAGAAATGACTTTGGCTCAGCTTGCAGGACTTCTGATCAGGAAGAACGCCTTTGATGGGTAAAATGAGCACGTAGAGGAATCAGCAATCGACAATTTAACATTTTCTTTAAGGGTAGACCAGCACTGTAAATGCAGCAGGCAACAGCTTACAAGGAAGCACCTGAGATAATTACTCCTAAACATCCTCAGGTATTTTTCAAACCTCATTATCTGATTTAGATGGTTTAGACCTTTTAAAATAGGAAAATAATATATGTAAATACAGCACATTATCAGATGAAAGGTTTAGGGTTTATTATTTTTTTCAAAAGAAGGTTTTTGTTGGTATTACAAGTTTCTGTTTACTTTTTTAAAATTGAGACAGTTCATTTTGAAATTAAGCTTTAAAATTAAAAAAATATTTTTTTACCTTATGGTTCACATGGCAAAAAATATGAGACTCAAAACTCACATATTAAAAATCCTAACTGAAAACCCCAATAAAATTTCACCACTAGGATATATTTCAAACACATTCTTGCAATCGTCTTCAAAGTATTGAAGAAGTCACTGCTTCTTCACTGCTTGCTTTTGCCACGTTCAGCAGATGAGATACATAATCATACAAAGTATTCTTAATATACTTTGAAGGTAAGAAACTCAGATGCTTTAGATAACCAGAGCAGTTATTCAGGCAGATTACGAGATCTCACGTGATCAGTTAGAGTCTCAGCTGAAGGAATGGTAACTGGAAGTTGAGAAAACAGTACTGCTGTAATGCAGTCCCCAAAATGCTTCATTGCTCTTACAATACCTATTGTGAAATTATTTCAAAAACAGTTGCAAAGATGAAACAATTTCTTAGAATTTGTCAAATGTTAAAGAACCCCCACCCCATCCCTGCCTCACTAAATCATTAACACAGGTACACCAACAGTGTATGGGCAACAGTATCTGAACCAAAGGTTTCAATTCATAATTTCAATTCCAGCATTACAGTATGTTACTCAAAAGCAAATTATAGCAAGAACAAACAGAAAACTAACCTTCCACCATCAAAAGAGGATACTACCAACATATTATGTTATGCTTGCTTTTTAGCCTTTAAAAAAAAAAACAAAACACACAACAAACACACACAACTAGGTAATTATTTTGCTGTGTGATGTCTTGAAGAGATTAAGCATCTTTGCTGCAAATCATCCAAGATAAAGCTAATTTTTAAGTTCTACCAGAAAATGCAACTTACTCTAGGACGGAATGAGTTGCAGCCTGTGGATGGTAACGGTACAGCAGGAGGCAATGGTTTACTCGAAAGACTTCACCGCCCGTTTGGATATGTTTATAAAAAAACAACAGATCTTCTGGAATACCCTGGAAGAGAAGCAGTTATTTCAAAGCAGGAAGTGACCAGTATTCATAGTTACATCTGAAGCCACTTTTTTTTTTCTGCCAAATGAATAAGGTTTAACATAATTTTCTTCCTATTATTTCTGTATGTCTCCATGAAGTTATCTAATGGCTCATTAAATAAACATATCTGTAGAAAAGATAAAGCTATTAAGAAAGCAAGCAGTGCTATTTAAAAATGAAGTACAGCTGACCACAAGGACAGAGGTGGAAAAATAAACATCATCTCATTTTGACAGGGATATAAACCTTGGTACAGGTTAGTCCCAAAAGAGAGAAACCCAGCTGCTGAACAGTTCATGACGCCTGAAGTGCCATGTAACCAAATAGGTTACTGAAAGGGATCAGTGACTTCAGAAGAGTGTTTTTTCGCTTTACTAGCATTATCTTTCTTTCTTTGGTTACCACACAAATACATATACTGGTCTCTACTTCGGAAAGATGAATCAGGCCCCATAATAAGAGACCTTAATAAAAACAACCTTAGAAAGAAGCAACGTCTGAAAACAAAACTGGGTTTTTTTTCTTGCGACTTATTTCCATGGTACATTCTTCTTAATGGGATTGCAAGCAATACTGCTGAAACACTGCCAGAAAAAAATCTCCTAGAATTGTGGATCTATCAGGCTCTAGGAGATATTAGAGATTCATGATCATATGCAACATTTCCCACCTAAAAAAATCAGAAAATCTTCATGCCAGAGATACAGTGTCAGAAGGGCAATCGTATGGCACATAGTATTGAACTACATGTCATAGCATATGAAAGCATAAACCCACCTTTAAAGATATAGCCCTATACTGAAGGTATGGCTAGAACATTTAATTTTTCTATGGTTAAATACAGACTTTTCTTTCCATCAACCCAGTGTTTAAAAGGTCACATGATTTTATCAGGCTAAAGATCTCAGATATATAAAACCAGGTGGGCCAAATAAAATATTTAAGTGTAGCATCAATAAAAAAGATGAAAGATAACATGACAAAGTTGAGAAGGAAAAGTGAAAGAAGGGAAAGATATTGAAATACATTTCTTTCTGTAGGCAATATCACATACATGAATAACAGGGACATAAACCTCAACCTCAACTTTAAGTACCCTATTTCAACACAGAAAAATAATAAGCGCACAAATTTAAAAAAAAAAAAAAAAAAAAAATTTTTCCCATTACGACAGCTTCTGAGTTTCTTCCATAATTAAGAAAAGGAGATTCTCTAATTAAAGTGCTGGACAACAAATCCCTCTGTGGTTTCTTCTGGCCTTCTAGTTACAAGAGCAACACAGTTCAGTGACTGTTTCTGATACCCACCAGACTGAGCAGCTGAGGGGGTGTGGGGAGGGGAAGAGAAATGAGACAAAAAAAAGCTTTGAACCTTGGAAAACAAATCCAAAACACTCAATTGAACATCTGCCTCTTGGAAGAAATCGGAACCGAATCAAGCTCTGTACTTTGCAGCTCCAGACTTCACTATATGATAGGTTGATTAAGACACTGAATTGGGCCACACTCCCAGATTCTGAATAAAATGGATTCGGATCTGACTGCTTGCTTAGGGCAGCTTATCTGTAGCTATTGTTTGTCTTTGTAGATATTTTTCTTACTTCTAGTTTAAGAGCTGCGATGCAGAAGAAAACTTTCAGAGAACTTCATACAATTTATGCTTTATGTGAACCTACTTTGAAAGCCACAAAAAAAATCTGGGGGAAGTTGGAGTAGCAGACAGCAACCACAGTCATCAAGAATATAAGGAAAACACAAACTCAAATTCTTTCAATTTATCTTGTAGCCCTTTCTATCTTTTTCTTATTCTGGACTTTAATGGAACTACTGAGAGTCAGCAGCAAAATTTAAACCTTTTTCTTTTTTCCAGTCACACACTAGACTGTGTCAGGCAGGGCACAAATTTTGTAGCACATATCAGCTTACTGCATAGTCATATTTTGATTCAGCTATATGATTACATCACATATGTATCTGCAATTCATTTTCTTTTGGATAAGCTTTTACATTATTCAAGATAACTGTTAATACTTATATTAAAAAAAGAGAGTTACTGCAAAAGTAAAAGGATCTTTCAAAATGCTGTTTGGTTCCGAGTGCTCTTTTGCTTTACTTTAATGGGCAGAAATACTTTGAAATAAAGTACACTCACCCCGAGGAATGAGCAGGTGCCTTGTATTGCTCAGCAGTGGCCTCTCACATTACAAAGGAGCGGCACTGCCATGCATTTTTCAGGGGAGGAAAGATGTTGACTGTGTTATAGATCCTGCAGGGATGGGACTTCCTATGGCTCTTGAGCATGTAAGTTTGTTGCAATACAAGAGTTTCTTCCCAATTGAGACGTATTATTGGATCCAGATGGCATTTTAAACACCAGGAATCTTTGTCAAACAACACAACTTTCAAAGGAAAAGCTGTTTAACCACTGAAGGGATATTTTAATGTATTTTTCGAAAATTGATATCCACAGCTGAAAGTATCAATTAACAATCCAGCATTTCAGCAATAGGCTACCACATAAATAGTTTTCAGCATTAATAAATACAATTAAATTGCACAGTGTACATGTTACTGGACTATATACAGAATTTTCCACATTATAGGCAAAACCCAACCCTATATGCTCTGCTGTACTAAGGGATAAACCAATTGGCCTGCCTCACTGAAGGTTGTGCCCATCAGCTGCTGATTACAACTCCCAGTGAAAAACACAGCCTGCACCTGCTCTGTTCTAACCAGCATGCACTAGCCATACGCAAAATCATCGTTCACTTTAACATATTACTACTAAACAGGTGAAGGATTTGTGTTTACCCAGTATTTTGGGCAAGTATCCCTTGCTGTGCTGATGGTTGGCTGTACAGATGAGGGGGGATTGATTTTGTATACACAGTGGGACGTCAAGCAGAACCTAACTTGAATTAAAGTAACTCTTTGTTCAGGGACCAAACTAAAGATTCTCCTCTTGTCATCTTCTCCTTGCTCGCTGTTTCTCACTCCTAGCAGATCACTGTGCATGAAACAGTACTCCAACTACAGTGTCTTCAACACATGTATTTGGCAAGGAGGTGCAAGCCACCTACCGCTACAACAAGCAATTCTGGCTACAATTTTTGCAGCTCCCATGGTGAGGAGCATCAGTAGGGATGAAAATACTGATCAGCAATTTTTGGAGACCTTTTAATGAAAGAGTGGCCCTCCATGCAATGCTGTAACTAGTAACACCTGGTGAGAGATCATGTTGTAGCCCTGGTAGCTGTAGCCCAAACAGTAATTACTGCAGAACTTCAGGCTGACAGAAATCTTTTTTTTTTGTCACTTGGACAGAACTTACCATTAGGCTGTACAGGCATAAACATAGTATAAGAGCTGCCTTTTACTGCTAAACCTAATAGAGGAAGTATTCTGTGGCAGAATCAATCTGTCCCAACTTCCTCATCCCTTTTCCCTCCATTCAGCCTTCTCTCAGTCATCTTTGACCTGTGTGCTTCCCCTGTCCTCTTCCAGCTGACAGGCACTCTGGTAGAGGTGGCAGATCCATGCGAGCAAAACCAGTGGAGATTCAGCCTATGCAGAGCAGTCTAACTAGTGAAAATGGGAAAATCTAACACAATGTTTTATATTTCAAGAATACATGCATTTACAACAAAAAGTGATGACAAACTAGACAAGGGAAGTAAATCTATCCACACAAGAAAAAAAACCTTCAGGTTTGGGAAAGCTTAGCCCTTCCTCTTGATCAGAGGCATCAAGGAAAATTGGGCTATAACTTGGTACACTTTTTGCAAACCAGACAGCAGCATCAGGGTAATTGTTGGAGAGAATAAGCCAAATTGCTTTAATTCCTCAGAGGAGCCTAAAATTGGTGAATGGAAAGAATGAATCAAAAAGGAAGTAACTTTTGATTCCATACTAACCTGTTTCTTACAGGACTTTGGAAAGAGTTTGTTTCATTGCTATTTTTTAAACTAACTCATTTCATGCTGCACATTTTAGAACATTCATTAAAAAAGAAAAACATTTCAGTATTAATATTAAGCTAGAGTTGCATAAAAAGCAGATCAAATGGTGTATATTACAACACCTAAGGTTAAACAGGAAAAAAAAATTTAAACTCAGAGTCATTTAGAAACAAAGCAGAGATGTTGAGTAAAAACTCCAAGTACTTTTTTTTTTTTTTTTTAAATACATATGCCAACAGCTGCCCAACAGCATTTCCTCAAAGTCTTGAGCTAAATCTTGGACTTACAGAAATAACACATACAGAGGGGTTGGCTGCATGGAAGTGAACACAAAAGACACCCTATTTTAAAGGAAGTACTCCTGCCTCAGAAACAAATGCTGTTCTGCCAGGCATTAAACTCCCTTACTCACCAACAAATGCTGTTCAAAGTGTGCTGCTAATGAGGAACAGCTACTAAGCTGCTGCAAGCTAAAACTAAGTAAGAAATTGCAGCTTTTCTCCAATTTAAATGTGAAGGTGAAAAAAAAATAGGAACTAAAGTAATTTATCAAGAATTAGCTATCCTTCCCATCTCTCCCTAAAGACAAGTTTTGTATTAAATGTCAATTGTATTTTTCTTTTGTAATGAACAACTTCTCATTGAAATAGCTTATTTCAAGGAGCAATTATCATTAATTGAAAATACTCCTTAGTTGAACTCCCTTTAGGATAGTCACCAGAGGTATGCAAGCGGACTAACCACAGCTAACTCCATATTAAACAGCTATTAATAGCTTTTCTTCAGGATTATCCAAGATATTCTTAAGTCTCTCTGTCTGCAGATCTGTCACTTCATTTTTTGGCTCTCATCCAAATCATGTCTTTACATCATTTTGCCTTGATTATAAGACCTGAAGCCTGTAACATTCACTTCATTGTTTGGGAAATAACAGGTTAGAGGAAACTCCAAAAGATTGCTTTCATCCAGATGTATTGGCCCAGAGAAATTCAGTTAAATA